CCACATCAGTCCTAAAGCATTCCTAAATCCCATAAATATCCTCCTCATTCATTCATGGGTCACATGTAGGGTTATTCACAGCTGAGAAGACAAGCGAGTTCAAAATTTAGCTACGCATCCAAACTTTCACAGAATCTATGCCACAAACAGAGAGAGATACAAAGATATATAAAAGGTAAGTATTGTCTTGAGGGGGAGTTTTTTTTCTACCAATAATGAATGACCCGCTCCTATCCCAAACTCCTGACTTACCCAACTCTTCCAGAATCACTCCAGCTCCCCCCAAAAGTCACCATTTTTACAGAACTGACAAAGCTTTTCCAGACCTCATCAACAAATGAATGAAGCTGGCTTTAAATATAGCCCCCTATTGTCCAAGTAGGCCACTCGGGGTATCTGACTTCAACCTCTCCAAGCCTCCAGTTGCTCATCTACTAAAACAGAATAGAACAGCAGGTTTCTAGGGCCCTTTTAGGCTCTAGAAATGTTATAATTCAATCAGATTTTGCAGTGTTTTAAAGCTGAAGTCCTATTTCGCGGACTTAACTACGGGGAGTTTGTCCTGCCTACTGGGAAGAAGAAAATTTGATACTGAGCAGATCCCTGGCAGGGGCATCAGGTATCAGTAGGGCCAAGGCCTTCGCAGGCCGATTTCTTCAAAAGGGCCACTTCATTCATGTCGTAAACCTTCAGGGCAGAGATCAGGAACTAGTCTATTGATGAGAGCAGTTTCCATCATGAAGCCTAAATTAAATACAAATGACTCTGAAAAATATTCAGAGAGTAGCTGAACTGTCTTATCATTAGCCAGCACACGTTTAGGCCAAACACAGTACTCCTCACTAGAAAGCCAGTTTCCCTATCTCCACTTAACTCTCAGCTTTTTTATCACCCCTGTGCTTCTAGGCTTTGAAGCAACAAAAGGGAAATTTTTATAACTCAAAATTGGAGAGGAAAAATCCTTGTCAGTGTGGCGTTCTTGTGGCTGTTTTTTTTTTGTTGTTGTTTTTTTTGTTTGTTTTTTGTTTTTTCTCCGGTACCGGGAAACAAACTCACGACCTTGCGCTTGCCAGGCAGGCGCTTTGCCGCTGAGCTAAATCCCCAGCCCCTTCTTGTGGCTGTTTAATGTAAGTTATTAGAGGAACTATGTCCTCTAATAGCTAGTAAAATGCTTGAGGACAAGCACCCAACCCAGCAAAGGACATGAGGAGTAAGCAGGTGGACTCTGGATTGGAAACCCCTTCAACTTATTAGGTGTGCTGTGTGACCCTGGCAAGGTACCTAACTTCTCAGTAACTGATTTTGTCTTTAAACTGAGAAGAACTACAGCACCTACTTCAGAGGGTGGTTTCAAGGATTTAAAAAAATGCCCTGTTCATAAGGTCATTGAGAAGATTAAAAGAACATACTACCTTGATTAGTTGTTACATTCACTTTGGTATTACCTCTGGCCCAATGCTTTGCCCAAAACAGAGGAAGTCAACAAGGTTTGGCTTGGTTTGGTTTTTACTGAAGGACTACACAAGTAGGCATAGATATCCCAAGGCCTGGGTGCCCATTATATACCTTCCCCAAGGAATTTCTGGAGATTTCCCTTGAAGCTGAAATGTTTGTGTAGCCTTGTGGTACAGTGACTCTATCAGCAAAGGTAAGAAACCTGAGCCACTAACGAGGTAATCTTAAACTGTCCCTATTAATTAATTTGTCTTAAATCCAAGATTTGCAAATAAAAAGGGCACAACGGAAAAGAGGGGAGCGATCTAAACAAGAGTAAGTAGCAACTATGGCCCACCTCTCCGGAACAGTCGGTCCTAGGAGACGCCTGCCAAACAGTCTCCTAAGGACTGTCTGCACCACAGGGCAAATGAAAGACATCGGCAAGCGTAAGCACGGCTCGCTTGTAAAAGCAAGACATACCGACAAGGACACAATACCCTACTCAGGCAAGCTCAGCCTGGCAGGAAGCATGACCTCGCCCAAAGCCACGAGTGCCATGGCCACTGTCACCAGTGCGGCCCCTCCCGCTGCAATTTAACTGCCACTCTGACATCTGCACGCCCCGCTATTTATAACCTCTCCCGGAAGCCCATTGGCCCAGGGTGCATAGCAGTCACTGGGCCTCTCAAGGTTGAGCCAGCCCTGCCCAGGCCGACCCCAGGACTGCCTCTCCGCCCTCGCCTGGCAGGGCCCTCCGGGCCTCGCAGAAGCTTGCACCCATCTCCACACCAGCCCGCCGCTGCTCGCTCCCACCCGGGTACCATTCCCACACTGTCTCGGTTCCAGGACGATGCTGGAGCGTCCAGCTGCCACCTCGCTGGGCGCACCGCCCACCAGAAGTCCTGTCTGACCGCTGTTCACCGGTGCGTGGAGCCGAAACGCCCCCACGCGACCTTCACTGTCCTCCAGGGCTCTCGGGTTTGCACCTGCACGGCTGCTGCCGCGGCCCTCGCCCTCTGCGGGGGTCCCGAGCGCGAACCCCCACCCACTCGTTCCACGTCAATGCAGCAGGGCACAGATGGGGCCTCGGAGACCCTTCTGCTCCCCCTCCCAAGCCCTGGGCTTGCAAGCATCCATGCACCCCGCTTTCCCCGGCCGCGCCTTCGCCAGCGCCGCCGCGCTCACCTGGGCCGGGCCGGCCGCGCAGCCCGCGAAC